TTAAACCCTACTGTGTTTTTGTTTCAGCTGATATTTTATAAACACTTTATCTAATAATCATTGTGCTAAACAATCCCAGTTCTCTCAGCCTCTCCTCATAAGTCATATGCTCCAGACCCCTAATCATTTTTGTTGCCCTCCGCTGGACTCTTTCCAATTTTTCCACATCCTTCTTGTAGTGTGGGGCCCAAAACTGGACACAGTATTCCAGATGAATATAAATGTAACCTGTATCCAGTTTCTGGGTCTGGCCCTCCAGCACCTCCCATGGGGTGTCACTAGCTCAGTCCCGCAGTGGGGGAGTTACACCATACTGACACTGGCTCCTGTATTGCTGTTGTCCTTAGCGGTATGTGCAGGGCCCGGCAAGTCCAGGGAATCCCCCCCATCCCAGGCTCTTTACCTGGGCATTTCTTTTTCCAGACGACTACTCCAATTATAACACCAATCAGGACAACTGCAGTGATAACTCCAGCCACAATGGGAATCAGATTGTTATTTGGTGCTGAAATGAAATGGAGAGAATGATCAATGGGGAAAAAATCCCCCACCCCCCCGCACTTAAACCCTCTTTCATCCCACTGCACGGATCAATCAGTCGGCTCCCCAGATAAGGGCTGAGTCTTGCAACCCTCCACCCCTTCCAATGAGCTCCATGCACGGCATTGCACACCACCATAGAAAGTCCTGAACACAGCCTCTACCACTTCAGTGTCTATCAGGAATGGTCTAGACAGTATTTGGTCCTGCCATGAGGTCTCTCGAGGTCCCTTCCAGCCTAGAATCTATGAATTCATAATAAATATGTAGCACTTAAAATAGAAGACTTTTATAACATTAATCAATCGTCATACACCTCTGTGTGGGGGAGGATGGATGTCAGTATCATCCCTAAATTGAAGGGGGAAGGTGAGTCAGTGCAAGAGCCAAGGACAGAACCCAGGAGTCCTGGCTCCCAGCCCCTAACCCACCTTGACCACGCTGACTTTCATGACTAATGGAACACAATCCCATTGTGGGAGTCTGGTGACAAACTGGAAACTGACCTCAAAGCTCTGGATTTCCCAGCCATGAATGGAGTTACAGACACAATGCATGTTTTTTGAGGGGGCAGGAAGTGAAGAGGGGACGATAGAGATATTTTAATACTGTTCTTGGTTTATATAAACCTGTTAAACCCCGAGTTCTCTATACGCATTAGTGAAACTGAATTATCTTATCCTGTTGTCTGAAAGAGGCACATAATACAGCAAAAAGAAAAATATTTCTAAGAGAATAAGGAAATGTGGTTTATGAGACAAAAGTTGGCAGGGGACGTGGTAGCAACATTATGATGTGAAACTATCTTTTGACTAGATTTCCAGTGCAGGCTGCCCTTTTAGAAATTGTTTGCACTTCCAAATGCTGCATTTTTCCACATCCCAATTAACCAAGCAAAAAGATGGGTGGAAGGCAGCTCCATGTGTAAAAAATTCTTCCTTGACTTTCTTGTGCTAGGGGCATAGGAGACTCTCCCCACTGATGCAGGGCTCCAATCTGCCTCCTCACTCCATTCCAAGGCCATACCCTCTCTTCCAGCATCTCTGCACACAGAAACAAGCTGCTCCCAACATTAAACATCTCTCTCTGGCCACATGGACAAGAATGAAGGACCCATAGAGCCATATTTCTGAGAACCTGCTGGATCATATGACTGGAAGGGACCTCGAGAGGTCATCTAGTCCCGTCCCCTGCACTCATGGCAGGACCACGAGTGCATGAAGTTGAGACCGGGCTGAAAGCTGAAGCAAGACCAATTCTGTCTGGAAATAAGGGGCAGATTTGAGCTTTCCCTGGGATGTGATAAATTCTTCATTTCTTGGAGACTTTACATCTGGAATGGGCATCTCTTTCTGAAGGGTCAGATCTAGTTTGCCCACAGATGACCAGACTGGATGCTGGGGTCCCTGATGTGATTCCCCCCTGCCCTGGGCTATGCAGGAGCTCAGATCAGATGATTAGAATGGTCCCTTCAGGCCTTAATGCCTCATTGTTAATCTTCTCCCTTCAGAGACAGCGTATTGCTGAGATGTATCCAACAGCCCCAGAGGCAGAAAACTGGAGAGCAAGACATGAGCCCCAGGCACTGCAGGCCCCAACTCTAGCATAAGAACTTGACTGCAGAGGGACAGGGTCAAAGAGGACAGGGCCTCACAGACCCTCAGGCAATTCCAGCTTCAGCCTATTAATCCGAATGAGAATTTTTCAGGGGTTGAGTTTAATGGATTCCCCCTCTCCCACTAGGAAAACAGACAAACACACAAACTCCTTACCCCAGGAGACAGAGAGTGGCTCTAACAGGCTTTCATGCTCCACGTGACATGAATAATGGGCTTTGATCTTGGGATCAATCTCCATTGTCAACCAGGTCTGGTAGGTCCCATCCCCACTGGGTAGGATGCCTTCAGAGTAGGTCTCTTGCTGTCTGCTCTCCCCATTTTTCAGCCAGGTCACGGTGATGTCCCGGGGGTAGAACCCACTGACCTTACAAGAGAGGGTGCTGAGGCCATCATGAGATGACCTGTAACTCACTCTAGCAGTTGGGCACACTGGGAAAAAGACGAAATTGAAGTTAGCTGTTTTCAAGCTCTAATCCAGGCAGTCTTTGCTGGAGTTTTGCAGCATGAAATTCTGAGACCCCAGCAGTGGGAGAGGATGAGAGTCCATGAGACGGAATCGCTCTGATGAGAGAGAACCACCATGTTAGAGGATTTCTGTGCCAAATTCACAGCATCAGCAATGGTGAACCCCAAATCCAGGTCCCTGACCAGATTCTATGAGTGTGGTAACCAGAAGCTTCTGCTCCCAGCCACAGTGACACAAGTACCTTGAAAGGCTTCACTAAGCTCCAGATACAGGTGTCAATCATTTCCTACGTTTGTGTCCATCTCCTCTCAGTCCCTGGATTTGAAAGAGAGAAGAATCTTGCCCTGGCCAGGGAGCAAAAAATGAACTAGATAAACTGACCAATTAGACATGGAAAGAACCATTAAACAAAAAAATGACACATGGCTGTAAACTGGCCCTCAAACTAGCTAATATTAATTGGCTAATTTCTTGTAGGTTGTTAACAACAATATTTACCCAATATTATGGATTTCAAAAGGATTTACACATGTGGAAAAATCAGTTTCCCAGCCTCTTGGCACTGAAATACACATTACACTGCTGTGTATAGCTTTTTCTTGTTGGCATTTGTAAAGATGGCCAAGAACAAGATCATGTTCTGCTGAGGTTTGTGAGAGAAATAAGCAACTAGTACACCTCTACCTCGATATAACGCTGTCCTCGGGAGCCAAAAAATCGTGTTATTTCGGACTTGCTTTGATCCACCAGAGTGCGCCGCCTCCCCCCCCCCGGAGCGCTGCTTTACCGTGTTATATTCGAATTCGCATTATATCAGGGTAGAGATGTATAACTGTTGCAAAAAACTGGGCACAAAATTCAAGTAACCTTGAACAGCAAGCGCAAACAGTTTGGGAAGGGAAAGATTAGGGTGTGTAATGATGCTTACTAATTTGGGAAATTGGTAACAGACAAGGTACATACATGGGAAATAGTGAGTTAACATTTTGAAGCAGATTATGCTGCAACTAATCAGTTCTGAATCAGTATGGTAAAGCATTTAACCTCTTCCCTTCTATGTTTGTGCTGATTAATCTTTAACTAAAAAGCTTTGGTAATAAATGTCACTGAGTGATTATCTGATGTCTTATTGATAAAAGAATCAAGTAATAAGTATGAAAGTGTTGCAGCAAAGGTAGGTCTTGAGGGGGGAAAACTTTGAGGACAAGGGTAACATTCTTCCAGGTTAGTATGGCGAGAGCAATTCCACATGTAGGGGATGGCATGGAAGGAAGCACATAGATGACTGTGGAAGAAGTTTGGACAAAGAGGCAACAATAACAAAGCTACCGTCATTGGCGGAACACAGGGGATGGGGGTAAGACACTAAATATGATGGTATAACGACATGAGTCCTGTGGCACCTTATAGACTAACAGACGTGTTGGAGCATGAGCTTTTGTGGGTGAATACCCACTTCGTCAGACGCATGGGTATTCACCCACGAAAGCTTATGGTCCAATACTTCTGTTAGTCTATAAGGTGCCACAGGACTCTTTGTCGCTTTTTACAGATCCAGACTAACACGGCTACCCCCCTGATATATGATGGTATAGACGGTGAATGAGGAAGAATTACATGGTGAATGAAGCTGGTGTCCATAGAAGTGGTGGCACTTCCTTAATTAAACAAAGTGCTCTAAAATGCACATGCACAGGCAGATTGCCTTGATAATTACTGTGTTACATCAGGGGAAGAGATAGAATTTGTGCTGTAAATTTGGGCTCATTAGGTCAGCTTCTCTACAGTGAGCTGCTTTTAACATTTCTTATCTTTTTTCCCCAGCAGAGCTAAGGAGGGGAGAGGGGTTGTTTCCCCACCCATCCCTGGTGTAAGGTTAGCTGAACTCCCTACTCCATTTTGGAACTGGGGCTGGGAAATAGAGATGTAACTTGTAGTGACTTCCTAGGTGGGGCTTGTCCCCCAGCCTTACCTTTCCTCTGTAGAGTCTCCTTCCCATACTCTAGAGAACTCCTTAGCCAGGAAATACATTCCTCTTCCAGGTAGTGTTTCCACCACTGGTTGTCAAATACTTCAGCATCCCATCTCCTCTTGGTGATCTGAGCCCCAATATCTGCTGCTACCCAAGTCATGGTCTCCTTATTGAAGGTAAGAAAGTCTCGTCCGTCATAGGAATCCTGGTAAAACCCCCAAGTGGTGTTGTCTTCCCGGAGATCACAGCCGGTTATCATTTGGATAATGTGAAACCCTGAAACACAGCTGAGGGTCAGCAGCAGCCTCTCTCTGAAAATCTCACCAAGACCCCACTGCAGATAGCCCAGTAGTTCTTCTCCTTGCTACTGGACCCTCCCTCCCCTGAGAAATGGGGTTCCCACTTATGCTGTTGGGTCCTACACCCTCCCAGCTCCTTTCAGGAGGGAACCCAAACCCACAGGGGGCGCCCTCTTCATCCGTTGGGTCTTGTACACTAAAGACCCCCCGCTGCATAGAGCTCACAACCTTCAAGGAGTACCTCACTGCTGCTTGTTCTTGTATGCTCCCTGCAGGGCGTGCAGGGAGGCACAACCCCAAAGGGAGTACTCCGGATATTGCAGGGGTCTATCCCCTCCAGCTCTCTTCTGCTGTCTGAGGATCCACCCCAGTTCTGATAGTCAGGGTCATTTTAGGAAAGAGAGGGAGTGCAGGGTGTCTGTATCCCACTCTCTCCTGTTCTGGTTGTATTAATTTTGCAGGTCCACAGGGTCACTTGGTCCCCCACTTCCTCCATTCACAGTACCCCCATGTCCCTGTGGGGAGGGGGTACAGGTCTGTCCCCCACACTAACCTCTGCTCTGATTTAATGACCTCACAGAATCCCCAGGTCACTCTGTTTCCCCGCCCCATCTTCCCCGTGCTCCCAACTCAATCTAGGAATGGCAACAAACCAACTTCGGATGCTTGGCCTCTTTTTCATGTGGCCACTGTCTCAAGGTTCCCTGTAAGGATGAGAACATTGACGGCCCTTAGTTCAGCTGGCCACCATTTTCCTACAGCCAGGCTAATCTTCACAACAACGGCCACCATCTCGCACACAACCAAGACCAGGCTTAGTTTATACAGCCACCCCTGGGCTGAGAGGAGGCAGGGAGGTAGACGGGGGGGAACACTGAGATGGGGACAGTAAGGAGAATTTAGGGGACAAAGAGGGAACGGATCAAATCCCTAGCCTGGCAAACAGGGCAGAATGTGGGGGTACAAAAATAATCCACACATGGTCCCAAATATTTTCACCCTTCCCCCCGCCTGCATTAGATACATTGAGGTAAACGCCTAGATTTTCAGCAATGCCTCTGCATATCAGACACCCAAAAATCACTAATTACTATCCCTCAGTGATACCCCTCAGGCCAGCTCTAGTGCCCTCTAGTGCAGCACTCATGTCGTGGTGCCAGGGGACCAGTTGACCCCGCACCTTCTCAGTTCCTTCTCGCCAGCAACTCCAACAGAGGGGTAGGATGGTGGCTCATAGAATTGACATGTGCAACACATCTCAAAGAACAACAGTTACAGAAACTTTAGTAAAGGACAGTTATCTGTTGGCAGCCGGTTTCAAGCAGAGTGCCCCAAGGGTCGGTCCTGGGGCCGGTTTTGTTCAATATCTTCATTAATGATCTGGAGGATGGCGTGGACTCCACTCTCAGCAAGTTTGCAGATGACACTAAACTGGGAGGAGTGGTAGATACGCTGGAGGGTAGAGATAAGATACAGAAGGACCTAGACAAATTAAGAGGATTGGGCCAAAAGAAACCTGATGAGGTTCAACAAGGACAAGTGCAGAATCCTGCACTTAGGATGGAAGAATCGCATGCACTGTTACAGACTAGGGACCGAATGGCTAGGAAGCAGTTCTGCAGAAAAGGACCTAGGGGTTACAGTGGACGAGAAGCTGGATATAAGTCAACAGTGTGCCCTTGTTGCCAAGAAGGCTAATGGCATTTTGGGCTGTATAAGTAGGAGCATTGCCAGCAGATCGAGGGACATGATCATTCCCCTCTATTCAACATTGGTGAGGCCTCATCTGGAGTACTGTGTCCAGTTTTGGACCCCACACTACAAGAAGGATGTGGAAAAATTGGAAAGAGTCCAGCGGAGGGCAACAAAAATGATTAGGGGGCTAGAGCACATGACTTATGAGGAGAGGGTGAGGGAACTGGGATTGGTTAGTCTGCAGAAGAGAAGAATGAGGGGGGATTTGATAGCTGCTTTCAACTATCTGAAAGGGGGTTCCAAAGAGGATGGATCTAGTCTGTTCTCAGTGGTACTTGATGACAGAACAAGGAGTAATGGTCTCAAGTTGCAGTTGGGGAGGTTTAGGTTGGATATTAGGAAAAACTTTTTCACTAGGAGGGTGGTGAAGCACTGGAATGGGTTACCTAGGGAGGTGGTGGAATCTCCTTCCTTAGGGGTTTTTAAGGTCAGGCTTGACAAAGCCCTGGCTGGGATGATTTAGTGGGGAATTGGTCCTGCTTTGAGCAGGGGGTTGGACTAGGTGACCTTCTAAGGTCCCTTCCAACCCGGATATTCTATGATTCTATGGTTCCGTAACTGGTGTTCTTCGAGATGTGTTGCTCATGTCTATTCCACAGTAGGTGTGTGTGCTCACCACGTGCACCGGTGCCGGAAGTTTTTCCCTCAGCAGTATCCGTAGGGGGAGCGCCACTGCGACCCCTGGAGTGGTGCCGCTATAGCGCACTATAAAGGGAGCCGCACGCTCCCCCCACCCTAAGTTCCTTCTTGCTGGACCAACTCCGACAGAGGGGAAGGAGGGCGAGATGTGGAATAGACATGAGCAACACATCTCGAAGAACGCCAGTTACGGAACAGGTAACTGTCTTTTCTTCTTCGAGTGATTGCTCAGGTGTATTCCACAGTAGGTGACTGCAAGCTCTGTCTGATGGAGGTGGGTAGGAGTTCACAGATTCCCTGGCTGAAGCACAGCTCTACCGAAACCAGCATCATCCCTGGCGTGGGAGAAAATGGCATAATGCGACGTGAACGTGTGTACTGAGGACCAGATAGCGGCTCTATAGATGTCCTGGATAGGGACAAGGGCCACAAAGGCCGCCGATGAGGCCTGAGCCCTTGTTGAGTGAGCCCTTACGATAGGTGGTGCGGGAACCCCTGCTAGGTCGTAGCATGTGTGGATGCACGACGTGATCCACCGGGAAAGCCTCTGGGTGGAGATCGGTTGACCTGTCATGTGCTCGGCTGAAGCAACAAAGAGTTGCAAAGACCTACGGAACGGCTTAGTCCGATCCAGATAAAAAGCCAGTGCTCTGCGTACATCGAGCATATAGAGGTGACATTCCTCATTAGAGTCATGAGGTTTGGGACAGAGGATAGGCAGGAAGATGTCCTGGCCCATGTGAAAAGCGGAGACCACCTCAGGGAGGAATGTAGGGTGTTGGCGGAGCTGTATCTTGTCCTTGTGAAAGACTGTGTGTGTGGGGGGGGGTTTTCGCAGGTCAGGGCCCTGAGCTCTGAGACCCACCGGCCTGATGTGATGGCCATGAGGAAAGCTACCTTCCATGAAAGGTGAGACCATGAGCATGCGGCCAGGGATTCGAACAGGGGCCACATGAGGCGGGATAACACCAAATTTAGATCCCACTGAGGGACAGGGGTTCTTGCATAGGGAAAGGACCAGTCTAGCCCTTTAAGGAAACACCCGGTCATGGCATGGGAGAAGACCAAGCAGGCCTGGACCGGCAGATGGAACGCCGAAATAGCGGCCAGGTGCACCCTGACAGAGGAAGGGGCCAGGCCTTGAGTTCTAAGGTGAAGAAGGTACACGAGGATAAGTTGGAGTGGGGCAGACATCGGGGGAAGTACCCCGCTCGCCCGCCCACCTGGAGAACCTGGGCCACTTCGCCAGGTAGGCTCAGCATGCGGATGGCTTTCTACTTTCGAGGAGGACACACCTGACCCCTTCCGAACACCTTCTCTTCTCCGCATCTAGGCATTGATCAGCCACACTGTCAAATGGAGGGTGGCCAGATTGGGGCGCAGGAGGCGGCCCTGGTCCTGGGAGAGTAGGTCCGGGCGGAGCGGCAACGGAGGGGCCACGAGCAAGCCCAGGAGGGTCCCGTACCAATGTTCCCAGGACCAGGCTGGGGCAATCAGGAGGACGTGCGCCTCGTCCATTTTCACTTTCTCCAGGACCTTGCCAATGAGGGGAAACGGGGGAAAGGCACAGAGGAGTTGACCCGACCATGACAGGAGGAAGGCATCTGAGATCGCGTTCCTCCCCACCCCCCCTCTGGAACAGAACCTGTGGCGATGGCGGTTCTGTCAGGTCGCAAACAGGTCTACTTGGGGAGAGCCCCACACTCGGAAGAGCCAGTGAGTGACCTCCGAGTGGAGCAACCATTCGTGTTGGGAGGAGAAAACCCTGCTCAAGCGATTGGCCTGTGTGTTGTTGACGCCTGGCAGGTGGAAAACCTTCAGGGAGATGTCGTGGGCTATACAGAACTCCCAGAGGCGGAGGGCTTCCAGGCAGAGGGCCAAAGACCTCGTCCCACCTTGCCTGTTGATGTAAAACATTGCGGCGGTGTTGTCCGTGACCACCTTGCGCAGCTGTGAGCTGAATGCCCCGCAGGCTAAGCGTATCGCCCTGAGTTCCCTGATGTTTATGTGAAGGGACAGCTCCACGGCTGACCACATCCCTTGGGTCTGCGAGTTCCCTATGTGGGCCCCCCAGCCCAGGTCCGATGCACTGGACACTAGGTCTAGTGACGGGGTCAGGTCCCGGAAGGGAACTCCCTGGAGCATATTGGCCGGGCAGGACCACCATTGTAGCATGGCGATCACCCGCGCCGGTACTGAGAGGCCCTTGTCCCGGGCTTGGGAGAACTCTGAGGCCAACCAGAGTTGGAGGGGCCTCACCCAAATCCTGGCGTGGCGGACCATATATGTGCACGCTGCCATGTGGCCCAGGAGCTGCAGGCATGCCCTGGCCGTGGTGACGGGGAACTCCGTGACCGAGGCTATAAGCCCCTTCAGGGTCTGGAACCTGTCCAGGGGAAGGGAGGCCGTGGCCTTGGAGGCATCCAGGAGAGCGCCTATGGATTCTATGCACTGCACCGGAACCAATGTCGACTTGGCCTCGTTCCCTAGCAGGCCTAGGCTGGTACACGTAGCCAAGAGCAGGTCCATGTGGTTCTGTACCTGGGGCCGCGAACTGCCCTTGAGCAGCCAGTCATCGAGGTA